CTTTGAACCCCAGGTTGGGTTTCTTGCTGTCTCCAGTGCTCCCACAGAGCCCCGTGCACCACTTCCTTGGAACCTACCCCTTCGCTGCAATGAGGAGACTGGAAGACTCTGGGTAAAATCAAGGACTGTGGAGTCCCGGTCTTGGCTGCACCAGGGATGCACACCTAGGGATGTGTCCTTGTGTCAGTTACTTGATATGCTTAAGCATCAGTCACCTCATTCCTAAAATGGGGATAGCAGTAGTCCCTAGCTCACCGGGATAGCATGCAGATCTGGGGAGATAGTGCATAGGAAACGCTTAGCACCTTGTCCGGCACAGAGTTAAGGCTGTTAGTGCTAGCTAGTACCAGTTACATGTCAGCACCCACCAGCTGAGGCCTGGGACTGTATCTTTTGTAATGTGGTGGCCCAGGTCTTGCACATAGCAGCTGTGCAATATTGTTCCCTGAATTGGATGCAAGTGGACAGAAGGACTATCCCTGATGAGCGTTGCCTTCACCATCATCCTCTGTAGCCTGGCCCTCTGGTGCCGTCCAGTGCCGTGGTGGCACTCTCCCCTTCGGAGGAGGAAGGAGCCTTAGATACTCTGGTACAACCCCTCGTTTCACCAATGAGGAAACTGAGGCCAGAGAGTTGGAAACATAACCACCACTTTTCCCCTTGAGAGGTACCCCCGGGTGAGGCTAGACCCTGAGGCTTGGGTAGCGGAGATCGGTTGTAGAAGGGGCTGCTATCCAAAAAGAGAACATGACTTCCACCCAGAACCTGGTGTGGAGGGGGCAAGGCCTGGATGCTACTGACCACAGCTGTGTGGCCCCCTGGCTTGGACGGCACAGAGAGCCATGCCATTTGGACATCCCACATGAGCTCCAACGGGCTGCTCATCAGTGGTGGCACAGAACAGGATACAAACTCCCTCGAGAGCCTGGATGAATTTGGAAATCACTCGGGTGCCCTATGTATCCTCGCCACACCACTTTCCTAAAGCACCCCCCAAAGGGACCTGCATGCTCTTTGTCCCCCTAGGCTGTAGCCCCAAGGACCACTGTGAGGTGAAGTGACAGAGCTGAGGGCAGAGGAAATGGAGGACAGGAGAAGCTGGACCCGAGGACCTCCCCACTGTGTGAGTGTGGGGAGAGGCCGTGGGGGCTGCCCAGGGGCAGACTCATTCATTTATTTGTTCGTTCATTTGTTTGTTCTTTCACTCATGTGTTCCTCCAATATGGAGCATGTCCTAGGCTCCAGGGACTGTGCTGGGTGTGGGGAAGCAAAGGTGGGCAAGAACAGCATATCATCTAACACATAACTCTAACAAGTGCTCACTCCTCACACAGACTATGAAGGTGTTCTGTGCACAATCTGCACAACTCCGTGACAGCCCTGAGAAGGACATAGTCCTTGCCCTTATGAGTGGGACAGCTCTCAGGTGCCATAGAGTCAGCGGTGAGGCACTCCGTGAAAGCACACACCCAGGCTCGGGGATACTGAGCTGAGATGTGGAGCATGCACAGAGATCTCCCAGGTGAAGTGTGATGGAGGGACAGGTGGGGAGTATTCCCAGCAGAGGAAATAAAATCTGTCAAGGCCCAGAGGCAAACGATAGCACAGAGATCTGGAGCAAGGCAAATGGGAATGGCTGGAACCCCACATGGGAGCGGGGCAGGAGATGGGGTTATGTCTGGTGGTAGAAGAACCTGGAGAAGTCTTTGTCTTACACACGGTGAGGAGCCATGCAAGGCTTTCAGACAGCAAAATACCATGATCAGATGTGCTCTCTTTCAAGAGGACTCAGTGGCAAGGTGGAGATCAGGTTGGAAGAAGCACAACTCCAAGTAGGGGAATTTTGGGGGATTCCCTAGGGGCTCAGGCAAGAGATGATGGTCCTATCCTGGGGTGGGGGCAGTGGGGTTGGCAGGAGAAGGTGGGGATTTGGGAAATAGTTAAGAGTTAGCATCAGTGGGGTTTGGGGATGGAGCAGATGTGGAGGAGAGGGAGAGAAGCCATGCCATAGAAATTGCCTGGGATTCTGGACTGGCTGATGGAACAGAAAGTCTGGCAGGTTGGTGGACTAGGGAGATAATGATCATCCAAGATCCTTCCAGTCCAAGTGCTACAGGATTTGTGCAACTGGTGGGACTGACAGAATCAGAATACTAAATCCTAGATCTCAAAGAAACCTAAAGCCGAGTCAGGTCCTTGCCCCAGGCTTCATGCACTTTTCCCTCTTCAGCTCACTTACTATTTTCCCCTTTTCATCCTCGAGCATCTTCTTCATGCCAGGCACTGTGTCAGGCACTGGGGATATAATGATGAATAATAAGTCATGTGCCCTGACTTCAAGGAGGAATCCAGTCAACAGGGGATAAGGATATAGGGCTGAAGGGCTATGACTGGGAAAGGCTGGGTGCTAGGTGATCATGGAGAAGGGGCATCCAACACAACCTTGGAAGAGCAGGGAAAGCTGCCAAGAGGAGGAAGGAGAACCACAATTCTGTCCCAAAGTAAGAGAAGGAGTAACTGAGGTCAAGTGCCAAGTGAGGAAGGGAGCAGGAACGTTAGCGGTAGGGCAGGGGGAAGAGCCCTAAAGAGATAGGAGGCAAAGGAGGCCCAGAGAAGTTAAGCAGCTTGCCCGAGCTCACACAGTTCATTTGCAGAAGAGACAGGAATTGAGCTCAGTCTCTTATAAATGTGTGCCATATTTTTAATCATTTTTCTCTAACCCCTCACTTTTTACCCTCTTCCTCCCGCCCCCAGCCTATGCTTGGTCCAGAGAGATACTGGAGCCAGGGGAGGTGGGCTGTTCCCTGGGGCTGGGTTCACTCAGCAAGAAGACCCCTGTCACACCCTCTACCAACCCTCACCTTTCCCACCCCACTCCTGCTGGCCCAACCTGTAGACCCATCTATCAGAATGATGTCCACTATAAAAAGGTTCATGACACCCATCAGAACCCTGTACAACTCTCCATATGCCACCATCACTCAGAATTAAACTAATTCTCCTGCCCAAGCTGAAGCACGGGTTTCCCTCCCTCCTTAAATTGAACTGCACTCTCTTTGGGGGGCAAGTAGGGACCATTTTTCTCTTCTTATTACCTCAGTCTCTTGTTGCTTTGCATATCATAGTTATTCAAAAATTATTCATTCGGTGAGCTCTTACTATGTCCAAGACACTCTGCTAGATGCTGGGGGACTGGTACAAAGATGGATAAGAGATGGTCTCTGTCCTCAAGGAGCATAGTCATGTGGAATTGAGAAGACTTCTTCTCTGGGCCAACTGACCACCCACATCACACTGTAGTGTTCCAGATGGACTCTCTGCCAGTCCCTGCCTGGGCATTCCCGGTAACACAAACTCACTACCTCACAAGCAGGGCATTCTATATTTTTAACAGCTCTAATTGTTAATTGTGCTAAAAGCTTCCTTTCCTGTAGCTTTCATACGTTAGTACCACTATTTTTGCCTGGAATGATAGAAAATATATCTAATTCCTTTTTCACATGTCAGCTCTTCCATATTTAAAACTTGTTTTCATGTCTACAGTTTCTCCACATGAGTCCAGCCAATCCTTTTTTCCTTCTTAGGAGAACCTTGGAATCCTCGGCATTCTTACTTGCTTCTTAAATGAAGCCCCAAGAATCAAGGACAGGCTCCAGCGGGCCCTGACCAGGAACCAGTGTGGGGCTCTAGCCGGCTGCTCCCTTATCCGGGGGGTTTTATCTACCCTTCTGTGAAGGCTGCTGGACTCACTTTGGCAGCTGCTTTACTGGTTATTGACTCCTCTTGAGCTTACAATCGACTGAAGCCCTAAGGTCTTTCTCCCAAGGCCAAGCCTGCCCATCTTATACTAATGCTGTGGGCTTTTCAAAGCTAAGAGAACTTTAGATGTTTTTCCCTATTTCATTTAGACTTTTTCATTTAAATCTTTATGTCCGGATAAGATTTTTACAAAGTCTTGGATTCTATCACCAAGGTATTGGCTGTCCCCTTTCAGCTTTGTGTCATCAGAAATTAGTGCCTTGTCAGAAATGGTTGAACAGAACAGGACCAAGGACAGCGTACCACTCAACTCCCCAGGAATTGGCATTGATGGAAAAAAATCAATGTTTTTTTGAGAATTCTGTTTGAAAGCAACCCACTTGACTGGACTGTCATCTAATCTACTTCCTATCTTGTCCACATATAGATCATGGGAGATTTTGTTAAATACTTTACAGACAGCTAGATGTTCCACCTACAGCTGGCCTTGATGCTGAAGGAAATAAATGAGTTTGGCCTGACTCATTCTTAGTGATCTTTCTACTAGCTTTCCTTCCCAAGACTCACTTTGTCCATTGAGTTAAAGAATGGTTCTTTAGAACCTACACACTGTAAAGCTAGAAGAGACCTTGGAGATGATTCAAGGTCTAATTCCCAATTTTGCTGATGAAGAAACCAGTGCCCAGAGTGCTTAACTGGCATTCCCAAAGTCACAGAGTTAACTAAAAGCAAGACCAAGGATTGGATCCTATGTCTATGGCTCCAAGTTCAATGCTCTTTCTTAGCAATATCTAGTCATGATGTCTTTCTCTAAGCATATGCACATGAGTACACACACACACACACACACACACACACACACAGGATTTGTTCTCCAATAGGGAGCTTTGGTTAATCTTGGGAATCCTCAAACTCCTTGGAGGAGACCACTGTCTCTGCACCTCATTTGAACCTGTGTGTGCCTACACATGGGGCTTGCCCCTTGTGTGGGCACGTAAGTGAGGCCATCTCTTCTGAGCAGCAGGTGGAGGTAGGGGCTTCCCTAGAGAACAGTGGGCCACCTGCCTCAAGGTCTGGGCGGGGGGGCAATTTAGGCTTCCTGCACATGGCAAGAGGAACAGAGCCCTAAACACACTGCCTCGGGGACTGGCATTGCAAAGGTGTGACCCCTGCCATGGAGAGGCTGGTTCCTGACAAACTGGGCGACAGGGAAGGGCAGAAGACAGCTCCATTTGGGAGAACTAGTGGCAAAAGAAATGTGCCTGCAGCAGAGGTGGGCCCAAGTGGGGAGATCCCTGGATAGCCCCCGAAGGCAAGGCCCCTTCTCCACCCTCCCCACCCCCCTTGGAGGCCCTGGGTACCTGTTTATTCTTTAGGTCAAGGGAGAGTTCGTAATCGGAGGCGTTAGGGGCGTGGGAGCAGAGCGCCGTCGCCAGGGCAGGCTGCTGCCGGCCGGGGGAGGCCACGCGGTGGGAGCCAGCCCTCGGGGAGGCACCCCCCGCCCCCGGCCGCTCCTCCTCCTCCTCCTCCTGCAGCTCCTGGGCTTGAGCCTTCAGGGCATGGGCACTGGGTCTGCCGGCTGCCACCGCCGCCGCGGCCACCACGGAGTCCTCCATGCCCCCACCGGCCTGGGCGCAGGAGCCATCGCTGTGAACAAAAGGCAACGGTGCTCGGTTGGGGGAGAGCGGGACAGGGTGCATGTGGGTGCGGGGGTGAGGAGAGAGACTGGGCACTCTGGCCTGGCCTTTGGGGCAATGATGGGCCTTTCTAGCAGTGGGGGCTTGTGGGGGTGCCTCCTGCCATTGCCTCTAGGGGAGAGCTTCAGGCAAGGAGGAGAGCCTGCATTTGAGGAGGGTATCCCAGGCAGAGGGAAGAAGCAGTATGGCCGAGTGGGGAAGAGTAGAACGCCTGGGTTGGAATCTGGTCTCTGACTTATTAGCTGTGCGAACCTGAACAGGCTACTTCATTGTACCTCTGTTTCCCCATCTATAAAATGGGCACAATAATAGTACCTACCTCATAGGAACGTTGGAAGCCTTGAGTTAGTTAAAGTTCTTAAAACAGTGCCTGGCTCATGGTCCCTGCTATATACAAGTGTTAACGATCATCGTTATCAGTCATCAAGCTCCCTGACCAGTGGCTTAGGCAGCTGGAAAGAAGCTGATTTACACTGAACCAGCTCCACTTTTACACTGCCCCAGAGACTGTGGGGGAAGGAGTGATCCTTGCAGGCTTGGCTTGGGCATAAAGCCCCTCCAGGCTGGGTGGACGCCAGCTCTTTGGGGCTGGGGCTAGGGCTGTGAAGAGGAGGGTGCTTGCCCTGCAGGGACTAGGGAAGCATCTGTTTTTGGCTCCTGGCCTCTCCTGGCCCCTCCTGCCCTCCCATGAAACCACCAGCAGGCTGAGTCATTGCTGCTACCCACCTCCCTACTCTAGGAAAATACCTGCTGGTTGGAGCCCCCACACCCAGCCTGTCCTGGAGAATTAGTACACTCAGGTTTCTCCCCTCCCTGGCCAGTCTCCAAGTTCTGCCACTCCCTCAAGGCCAAGTGCGAAGCCACCTGTCCATGAAGCCTTTCCAAGTGACTCCAGCTGTAACTGCTTCATCTGCAAGCACACTAGGAGCTGTGCTTAGAGAGTCCCTTCCTATCTCACAGGAGGAGAAGCATTGTGGCTACATCATGGGCTCATATCCAAGCTCTACCACGATGTGGCTTAGTTTAGTTGCTTTTTCTCTGAGCCCCTCTCTGGTTTTCTCATCTGATAGCGGAGGTACGAGTACCTATTTTATGAGGTTATGGTGAGGAGGAAAGGAGTCAGTATGTGTAAGCTGTTTAGCACACTGCCTAGCACAGAATAGGTGCTCAGTAAGTGTTAATTCTTATTTTCCTCATCTATCCCACCCTGGAGGCCAGGGCCTATATTCTGTTTTATCCCTGCTCCCCACTTAATGCTGGGCAAATGGTGAGTGCTCAGTTAATACTTGATGATGGATGAATTGCAGGGAGTGCAAGGGCCATAGGGATGGCCCCTCCAGCAGACAGAGATAGAAGATCAGGACTGGAAGGGACCCTGAGGTCATCTACTCCAGCCCTCCAATCTCCCTTTTTTACAGATAAGGAGCAGGGGCTCAGGGGGTGGGGTGGCCCTGGTCAGAGAGCCAGACAACCTTAGGGCTTTCTTCTTCTAAGGCTTTGCCTCCATGTAAGGTGCCCCAAATCATGCCAGAGAAGAGATCTCTTCCTGTTGCTTCCACTCAACTTTGGAGCCCCTGGTACTAGAATAACCACGGATGGGTGAAGAATCCTTTCACTCCATCTCCATCTCTCCTCCCAGTACTCCTCAGCCTCATCGACTCCGTAAAGGAGAGCTCTTTGGCTGACCCTAGCAACAAGGAGCCTCAAATTCCCCCAAGGAAACCCTCTTTATGCATATTTCTTTGCTCCATCATTTCTTGTATGGCCATTAATCAAGTCGTATAGTTGAATGAGCTCTAGACATCTGATATGTCTTTTTCACCGATATCACCAAGAGGTTCTTTTTAAGACCTGACTTCAACTCTTGTCATAGGACTTACCTATTTTTTCCGCAGGGCCACAGAAATAGCCCTTCCCTTTCCTATCACAACCTGCCTCCAGGGGGCACCATTCAGTCTCATCCATCTCTTATACAGACTGTCCTTGGTACTAATGCCCAAGCTTCTTCACCCCAAAAGGTTTTCCAGACTCTTTAGAGAACTGGTGGCTACTTGGGGCTACAAACACCTTTAAAAATAGCACTTTGCTTTCTTTTATTGCTGTAGTGTGCCTGAGAAGAGGTTTTGGGAGTTGATGCACCAGAATAGCAGTACTCAACTGATGATAATGGATGCAGGTAGATAAATACCCTGGCTTCCTCGTCCCTTGAGGAATAATCCAAGGCACATTCCACACCATCTCCCAAAGATGCCCAGCAGTCAAAGCAGTGACCTGATAATTAATGAACATGTATTGGCTTCCTTCTCTTCATCACCCACTCCTACATTGGCACTTCTTGGAGTCCCCTTGTCCCAAATAAACTACTTGTGTTAAACCAAAACAAATTTTAAAAATAGCCTTCTTTGTGGTCCACCCCTCTGGATATAGACAGACTCCAAGGCCTTCTCCTGAACTCATTCATAGGACCTGGGAATTAGGAGACCCCTTACTGTCATCTCCAGCACATACATACACATGCATGCATGAGTATACACACACACACACACACACACACACACACACACACTGTCATACAATGCTTCTAACTAGCTCTGTGGCCTTGGGTAATTTGTTCTTCCTTCTGAGTCAATTTCCTTACTTGCAATATGATGGGAGCTTACTTATCCCTAAGCTTAGAATGCTGGGAGCTTGGATTCCAGTGCCAAGGCCAGTCCACCAAAGCCCACCAGCCCCAAGGCTCCAGACTCTCTGGCTGGTAGAACCAACTCTGGTTTTGCCCACCTCTATGCAAAGGGACTGTGAGACTGTGGCCCTCCCGAGTATATGATGAAAAGTATTAGAAAGGGGACCTTGTCCTTGCCTTCCCCCCTTAGACTTCTTCACAGACTTGTGTGGTACAAGGTGGCTATTGGAGACCCAGAGCTGCTGTCATCAATATGGCAAAGTTTAAAGTTATATAGTAGAGGGTAAAGAACATGGGCTTTGGTGTCAGGAAGTCCTGGGTTAGAATCCTGGTTCTGTTACTTACTATGTGACTTTGGACAAGTTACCTAACCTCTTTGTAGCTCTATTTCCACAAAATGGGCATCTTAATAACTCCTTTGCAAGGTTGCTGTGAGGAATAAATATAGCTTGCAAAGAACTTAGTACTCTGCCTGGCACAGAGTAGTCCTTGATAAGTGGTTTCCAGCAGAATACAGTGGCTGTATTCTGAGCTGGAAACCTACAGCATGGAGTCCCAAAGGAATCCCCGGAAAAATGGAGAATTCCTATGTGGCAGGGGTTCTCAACATTTAGCCTACCTCAACCTTCACAAAACCGAAACAGTAGGGTTTTTCCATCATATCTCATGGTCTTTCCCAGACCTCCAGACTAACTCTTAGGATCTTTAGGGAGAGAAGTGAAGGTGAATTGACTTCCTGAGGCTTCCTCCCACCCTTGTTCTCCAGCCACTGGAGCAACAGCACAGTGAAGGGCTTTGGTCTTGGGGGTCACCACATCATGGGATCCGTGACCTCTGAGGAATCCATACATATTTACCACCTACAGGCAGGCCCTTTGGCTGTACCAGCCACAATATGGGGCATGCACTAGGCAGACATTTGTCCAGTGTTCCTTGTGTGGATTTGTCTTTTAGTCACTTAGGGAGCAATGGAGGCCTGAGTACTTAAAACCTCTATGTGATGGCTGAGCATCAAAAGACTGTTCCCAGCCTCTGTTTCCCTCTTTGTACCCCATCTATAAAAATGGTCCAAGGAAAGAGTTTAGAATATTCATCCTAGCTGTCATAGCTTGGAAGGACCATCTACTTCAACTTAGAGACCATCTACTTCAATCCTAGTCTCATATGGAACTGGAAGCCCCTTGTTCCAGTGCCCAGAACATCACTCTTCTCAAGACACAGGCTGTGACCCTTAAGTGTCCAGAGTTGGCTGGGCTGACCTTACATCATGAAGCTGCTGTCCCTGGTGGGTCAGATTTCAGGCAGCCTGGTACTTGGACAGGAATCACGTGAATGGGATTCACTCTGGGACCTGCATAGCTTCTTGTAAGGAGAAGGGAAGGAGAGAAGGGAGAGGGATTCCGGTGATCTTAGCTATCTTGGGTTCATTATTCAGCTGTGGGAGCAGATTCCTTGAATGACAGCCCACTAGCCTGGAGAAACTTAGGGTCACTGATGACATGAAGGAGATGCTAGTCACAAAAACCTTTCCTGGGTTGGGATGCCCATTCAAGAAGAAAAAGAATGTGGGTGATACCAAAACAAGAAGGTTCTGAGAAGGCTTTTGTTGTGCCCACATGACATTAGGCCAATACACACACAGAGACCCAGGCCAGCCACAGGGGTTATTCCACCCATGAGAACACAGGATATGAGCATGGCAAATGAAAGTCTTTGGAAAATAGGGGTATAAGTAGTGGCTCAGAGGAATACTACATGTGCCCAGACCAGAATGACCTGTGTGTTGGAACTGAACACCAAGTCAGAAGCTGACTTGTGCTCAGAGGGATGATAGGGGCCTGTGGAGCATGGCGTATCTATGACCCTTGGTGTTCCAGTAACCACTCCCTCCTGTCTATCATCCCTGCTATCAGAATTGACTTCCTACAATGTAGATACTTTCATATCAATCCTTTGCCCAAAACGCATCGGTGACTTCCCAATACTCTTGAGATAAAGTCCACCAGTGTGGACTCAGGAGCACTGGTGATCCACCCCAACATTCCCTTCCAGCCACATTTCCACCAAGTGACCCACCCACCGCGGGCACACTGGAACTCTCCCCAAATCTACCTTGCGCTCTCAGACCACCATGCCTCTCACGTGACCTCCTTCTGCTTTGCAATGCCTTCTCCTCTTCATGCTCCTACTCTCCCACCCCTCCTTTCTCTGCCTCGTCAGCTCTTTCAGGGCTCACTCATTGCCCCTGGGAAGAGTCAGTCCCACCC